CCGGGGGTCAGCCACACAACTGGCTTCTTAGTTGGTTCTGCCTTCACTTTTGGGGAAGGCCTCTCCGTTCCAGGACATAAAACTTTTGTAACCCTCATATTTTGAACCTCTGCGCAAGACCCAGTCGGTCCCATTCCAGATGAAATGTAGGAGGGGAACTCAACACCGGGCACCCTAAAGAAAGACGACCTGGAACTGTGCCCAGGAGCACAACTCCCCTAGCTGGCTCTGCACATATATGTGTGCACACACACAGAGAGAGAGAAGCAAGGCACACACGCAAGTGCACACACCACACACATATGCACATTGGTGCTATGGTGCACACACATAAACACAATGCACTAAACACACGTGCATGCATGCACACACATACACACACAATGCACTCCCCCACGCCGGCTCCGGGCTTTCCTTCCCCAGGCCAAAACCTCCTTAAGGCTCTCCCTGCGGCCTCCCCAGGCTGCAAAGCCGGGAGAGAGACGGAGCAGGGGAGCCCTCGGGTGGGGGACACGCCCTGCGCCCTGCGCGCAACAGACCGGAAGGCAGGAGCCACTTCCACCCCGTGTGGAGACTTCGAGGCTCCCTGCTGGACTCTGCTGCCACCTGGCGGGCCACTGCCGTCGCCACCTCCTCCTCGAAGCCTCAGGTCCGGTCAACTGCCCAGGTCCTGGGACTTGGAGTGGACCTAAAGGTCTTAGGATGGGCAGGGTCCCCGCTGGGAACCGAGCTCTCCTGAGCCCCTCCTTCCTGACGCCCTTTTCACGCTGGTCCCCTACCCATGATCTCCAGCTCCAAGTGTTTCTTCTATGTGTTTCCTCTTCCACTTAAAACTGTGTAAAGGTGGAGCCTGTGCTGTGGCGTATATATGGGCACGAGTTCTAGTCCCAGCTGCTCCACTTCTGATCCAGCTCCCCACCAATGCTCCTGGGGCAGCAGCAGCACACGGCTCTAAATTCTTGGACATCAGCACTCACCAACAAGCTACACGTGGCTTTGGACAGACCCAGCTCCAGCTTCTGGGGCCACTTGGGAAGGGTTGTCTCCAACCCACCCCATGCCTATAACTTTTACATAAATTCTTTTCTAAAAAATTTTTTTCATTGGAAAATCAGATATTCAGAGGAGAAAGGAAGATGTTCTGTCCACTGACTCACTCCGCAAGTGGTTGCAACTGCCGGTGCTGTGCTGACCCGAAGCCAGGAGCCAGGATGCTCCTCCAGGTCTCCCACACGGGTCCAGGTTCCCAAGGCTTTGGGCCGTCCTTGACTGCTTTCCCAGGCCACAAGCAGGGAGCTGGACGGGAAGTGGAGCTGCCAGGATTAGAACTGGTTCCCACATGGGATCCTGGTGTATGCAAAATGAGGATTTTAGCTTCTAGGCTACCATGCTGGGCCTTCTTTTAAATACATCTTAAACTGTTAAGTGGGACTGTGTGCGGTCGGACGAGTCAGTGAGAGATCTTCCGCTTGCTGGTTCATTCCCCAAATGGCCACAACGGCTGGAGCAGGGCTGAACTGATCCAGGGAAGAGCAGGCCTAACCTGCTACGCCAGAGTGCCAGCCGCCCAAGCAGTCCTCCTTAGATAAGGCAAGTGCCAGCCTCCAGGCTTTCTGATCTCAACCAGGGCAGGTCAATCTCAACTCCCGCCTCTTTTTTTAGTTACACTGCTGATAAGCACATCACAGAACACTGACCACGGGCCTAGTTTTAGGTGTTCAGGCCTATGGTGCCACATCCAAGGTTGCACCTTGCAAACATGGTCTCTCTATGGCCCCTCCTGCCTCTGGATGTGTCGTTACTCCAGGTCCTTGTGGCAGTTGGAGCTCTGGCCTGTTCTGTTTCACTCAGCAACCTTCTTCATCCTCAAGATGAATCCATGTTGCAGTGTGAGTGGGCTCAGCCTTCCTTCTGGGCCTGAAAGCCACTCCACTGCATGGAAAGATCCCTTTGTTTATGCGAACAATGGACACCAAGATGACTAAAGCTATGGCCAAAGGGTACAGGCACAGCTTCAAGACTGCTTTCAGTCCTGTTGGGTGCACATGCAGAAGCAGAATGGCTAGATCACACAGTTTCTATGTTTAAATTAAAGCAAATATCTTCAGGGGCAGAGAGGGAAGAGATGATGCTTTCATCTCTGTCACTTCCAAATGCCCACAGCGGCCAGGCCAAAGCCAGAAGCCAGGTCTCCCAGCCGAGAGCCAAGGACCACCCATCACCTGACATGTCTCCAGATACACGCTCACAGCAAGCCAGAATGAGGAGCAAGGTTCGGACTTGCACCTGGACGTGGGATTGCCGTGTCCTACAGAGCGGATTATGTGTTAGGCCACACACTCGGCCTTGTTTCTGCCTCGGTTACATCATGTCACCTGCCTATTGGCCAAGCACAGGGCTCCACCTCTGTGCACCCCATGACTTTCAGTCACCCTAACGGTGACTGTGACTTGTGGCTCCCATGCGGTGAGTGAGCCTCCCTGAACTGGAATGGGCCCTGTGGATATAACAACTGTTACAAAGGGGTCTACTCACATTCTGGGCCCATTCTTCATTCGGGTTGTTTGCGATTTTGTCTTGGGATGGACCTCTCCAACCACTTCCAACATCCCTCTTTTTTTCCGACCCTGGTCAGTGGCCTAGAGCCCATGTCCCTGGTCCTAGCTTCAGCTCCTACGCAGTGCCCTGCAAAGGTCTGTGACCCTCAGAGACCTGTATATTCTCCTGTCTGCAGCTGCTGGCCCTTCCTCCAGGAACGCTCCTCTCTCCCAACTCCTCATCCTTCATCACTCCTGTGAGCTCTCCTCAGCACCCCACCCAAGGCCACCTCCTAAGGAAGGCCACTGCAGAGTGCTTGGGGCCCAAGTTCTGGCTCCTCTGCTTCTAAACCAGCTCCCCGCTGATGCACACTCTGGCAGGAAGCAGGTGATAGTCCAAATTCTTAGGTCTAGGTCTCCCACATGAATGGCAGGAACCCAGCTGCTTGAGCCTCCCAGGGTATTAGCAGGAAGCTGGAGCCAGGTCTGGGAGCCTGAAAATGAACCCAGAACTCCAGATGTGAAGCAGGGGGTGTCTTCCACCACTAGGTCAACACTCATCCCCCAAACTGGAATTTAAGCTCTCTTTGCTAGGCTGCCATCACAGAAAAAAATTCAGGGCTTTCTGGCTTTGAATTCCACACATCTAGTTCCTGCGGCTGAAACCTGGAGCTACGGGAATCAGAGACATGGCTGTGTAAGCTTATGTACCCTTGACCCAGGATGGGGGCGAGGGACTGAGACTGTGGCCAGCCTCAGCCAGCCCCATGTGCCATAGTCCTAGGAGGTTGGCAAGGGTAGTTGGCATTCTGGATATGATGCAGACCTGGTCTGCCTCGTCAGCGCCAAGCCTGTCACTCCCAGGGAGCCAAGGGTGACGGCGGACTTCCCATACCATCAGATGCTAGAAATTTCTTGTTTTAGACACATTTTCAAAGGCTGATGCCACAGTGGATCCACCCAAGGGTGGATAAGTGAGCTAAACTCTCGGGGACTCAGAGGTGCATCAGCCAAGCGAGCAGGTCCCTGGGATCGGTCACAAAGCCACAGGAGAAGGTCAGGTCCAACAGTGTCTCCTTCCTGAGGCTGGGCTGTGGTGGGAAACCAGGCTTTCCATCTGTGACCCAGCCTCTTTCTCGGCCTCTGCTCAGCCTGGCAGGTTGACCCTCCCTGCAGGGAGAAGAAAATACTAGGGCAAAAAAAAAAATTTCCCTGAAGATTCAGTGCAGAAGAGGGCTGGTTCTGAAGAGAACACAGCCTTCATCCAAGGTGGCACGGGACGGAGAGGGGCATGTGTTGAGTTTCTCCTGAAACGGACAGATTCAGTGCCCGCCAACCACACTGCCGGGCCTGCCATCGAGTCCTGAAAGCCAGGAAGCATGGCGTGCCCCACAGCCGGCGCTCCCAGGCCGCCTCCACAGAACAGGCAGTCCCCTCTCTGCAGTGAACAGCACACGCCTGGGCTCTGTTCTGCTTAACCTTTCAGTGTCAGGAGACAGGAAACCAGTGGCCACGTCCCACACTACCTGTCATATGGCTGATGACCTCCCTGATACCTCCGACCTCCTCGTGGTGGCCCCTCCAGAAACTCCAGAAGCATTGTGTGAGCAGCCAGGAGTTTCAGAAGATGGATCAGGCACAGGATACAGGGAAGCTTCTCAGAATAGAGAGGAGGCGGAGGAAGCCTCTCGGAGACAGACACACACTCCGAGTCCCCTGGGGCATCCACCGCCCTTAGTCAGGATGCTGAGTGCACCAAACCCTCCTGGAACATCTGCACCTTGCTCCCTGGAGCTGGGGGAAGGCCCACTCCATGGCTGAGACACACTGCCCGCAGGTGATGCGAGCGAGCCCTGAGCTGCCAGCAGGGAGTGCTCAGCTCATCACCTTCCCCGTCCTGTGGCCCCATCCCAGGCCTGGGACACTCTGGAAACACGTGAGCCCAGAGCGGATAGGACAGCCCAGGGCCAGCGGGCCTCCCATCTCTCCACAAAGTGGCAGCTGAGACTTGCTGGAGCCCAGTGCTTGGCTCCCCAGCACAACAGCCCAGGGAGCGCCAGAGCAGGGATTCTCAGGGCCAAAGGAGCCCACATGACCAGACTGGAGTGGCCATGTGACAGTCAGAGCTGCATTCCAGACCCCAAGCATATCCTCTGTCCACAGAGAGGTCAGAATGGCTCCCGAGGAACATGCTGGATCTTTCCTGCCGATGTGGCTGCTGCTGCAGTGCCATGCACAGAATTCCTCAACTGGTTCCAAAAAAACTTTGGCTTTTTGTTTTGAGTTCAAAGCTTAGCATAGCTCGTATACAGGTACTTCAACTCACTGACTTGGGGTATAGCACGGGGCAGAGTCGGGGGTGGGGGTTCTAGAATGTTCTTCTTCAGACTCAGCAGCATCCTCCGAAGGGACAGCACTAGGCATGTTTTTCTTGGAGCGTTGGGCCCAACAGAAGAGCAGCTGTTACCTGCATACAACAAAGACGCCTGGATGAAGAAAGGGATGAAGCCGGCCTTCCCTTGGAAAGGCCAAGGTTACTGAGAACCACCGAACCGGCTCAAAACAGAGCCAAGTGCAATCAGGCAGGCAGCCTGGCCTCCCTCCGCCCACAACCCCAAGAGTGAAGACAAGGGGTCGCACCTGTGCCCAGGGAGCGGGCCCTCCCGCGCCAGGGAGCACACCTGCTGCTCCAGCCGGGAGATGCGGAAGGCCAGGTAGGATGAGGCCAGCACTAGGAAACAGATCCTGGGGAGATGGGGAGACAAGGGGCTCAGGCTTTCCCCAAGAAACAGGACGGCTTTGAGGACACCAGTGGCAGCAGTGGGGAAGGTGCCACACTCCAGAACAGCTCAAATAGCCATGGCTGTCACCCACATTTCCTCTGCACAGTCACGGGGTCACCCCTGCCCCCTAAAGGTGGAAGGCCCAATCTTTCCCTGACCCCCTTCCCTGACAGGTATTACCGATCAAAGACCAGCTAGCTTAGGACAGGTGCCATGGGGAGGGGAAGCCAGGTGCCGGCTGTTCCTATAACTTCCTGCCCACAGGTGAGACTGCCCCTTTTCCCTCCACCTCCCCGCAGCTCACCAAGAGCCACCCCTCCCTTCCCCACTCTGAGCAGCAGCTGCTCCTATCCACACTTCCATCACCAGCCCCCTACCCACACCAGAGCCTTCATCTAGAATTAGACAGTCCCAAAAAACAAAATGAAGGAGACAGGCAGCTAGGATGTTGCTTGGGATGCTGGCATCTGTATCTGGGTGTCCGGCTTTAGGTCCTGGCTCCAGTTCTGATCCAGCTTCCTGCTGGAGGCACCGGGTGATAGCTCACGCACCTGGGTCCCTGGCCCCCATGTGGGGGACGTGGATGCAGTTCTCCTGGTTCCTGGGTTGGGGCTGGCCCAGGCCTGGCTGTTACAGGTATTTATGGACAATGAACCAGAAAGAGAAACTGAAAGAACTGTCCCTCTTTGTTTGCCTCTCACTGCCTTGCCACCTCTCTGCAACCCTTCCAGTAAGATGGAACATAAATATTTGTGAAAAAAGAATAAAACAAGAGATCCAGGGTGGGCACTGTGGTATAGCTTGCTAAGCAGACACATCCCACGTGGTTGCTGGTTCAAGTCCCGGCTGCTCTGCTTTGATCCAGCTCCCTGTTAACGGGCCTGGAAAGCAGCAGAGGATGGCCTAAGTGCTTGGGACCCTGCACACACGTGGGAGATCTGGAAGACTCTCTTGCTCCCCAGCTTCAGACTGGCCCAGCTCCAGCGACTGTGGCCATTTGAGGAGTGGGCCAGTGGATGGAAGATTGCTCTCTGCCTCTGCTACTAACTCTGCCTTTCAAGTCCATAAATAAAAAAGATTTATTTATTTATATTACAAAGTCAGATACACAGAGAGGAAGAGAGACAGAGAGGAAGATATTCTGTCCGATGATTCACTCCCCAAGTGAGCGCAACAGCGATGCTATGCCGATTCGAAGCCAGGAGCCAGGAACTTCTTCCGGGTATCCCACACAGGTGCAGGGTCCCAAGACTTTGGGCCGTCCTCGACTGCTTTCCCAGGCCACAAACAGGGAGTTGGATGGGAAGTGGAGCTGCCGGGATTAGAACCGGTGACCATATGGAATCCCGGCGCAAGGTGAGGATTTTAGACCACCGCGCCGGGCCCCCATAAAAAAAATCTTAAAAACAAAAAACAAGTTGGAGTTCCTTTTTCTTAGTGTAGATGAGTGACTGTGGCCTCAGACACTGCCCAGCTGGCTCCTGGCCTCGACCTCCCCTGTACCCCATGGCACTACCTACAGCACAAAGATGACCTTGAGGAGCCTCGAGTCCCAGGGCCTCAGCTCCAGGCTGCTCCTGGGTTCCCACTGCAGTGGGTCCTCTGCTGGGGCTGCAGCTTCTGCCAGGAAAGAGAAGTGGGTACCTGCTGAGGGCAGCCAAGGCCACACACACCCACCTTCCCCTTCCCCACTAACTGAGGTAGCTGTGCTGAGCCCAAGCCACAGAGTCACAGCTGGGCCTGGGTGTGCCTACAGCCAAGCCCTCCAACCCAACCCTGAGCTCACCAGACCCTGGAGCCTTCCCAGAGGCAAAGACGCTGTCGGTGGTGTCCCTGGAAGCCCGAGGGATACACGGGATGTTATCTGTAAGGACCAAGGACCTCGAGGCCGGGCACACATTCCTCCACTTCATCTCTGGGATGAGTACATCCTGTGGTGTGGGTGGGTGAAGCGATGTGAGGGGTTTGAGGGTGGACACCAACGGCTCCCCTGCTCCCCACTGCTGCCACACGCCCAGGGAGCCGAATCATGACCAGATCAAGGCCAGTCAGGGAAGAAAGGGGGGTTGCCATGGCAACCACATTGCCTGTTCCTTGGCAGTGACCACACCAGGGTCCTCCCCTAAGCTCACGCTTGAGAGGGAAGGAGTCAATTCAGCTGGAGGTGGGGGGAGGCTCAGGGACCCATCCACAGGAAACGGGAACATGACCTTCCGTGCCCTGGGTGGCAGTCAGTACACCTAGTGCGCCTTGCTAAACAATCAAGAGTCACTGAAGGACACTTTGGATCCCACCCCGGGGCCATTCTCAGCCTGTGCTTGTCCCAGAAGCTCAGCCCATGAAGGTCTCTCCCTCAGGGCCCCCACCTCCCAGTCTCAGCAAAGGGAGGAGGATGAGTTGCCAGTTGGGCCTCTGCACGGGGGTGGAGCCTAACCTGGCCAGCATGCGGGGGGCGGGTCTGTCCCGTGCTGGCTGTGCACCACGGGGTGCTCAGGAGGACCAGGGCCTCCTGGCACAGCTTGGCACGGGCTCTTCAGCCTGCTGCTGAGCCCGTTCTGCCCAGTGGGTCCCTCCTGTGAGTCCTGATACAGCCTGTGATTTCATCCCCATCTTCCCTGTCCCCCACACCCTGCACACTCTCACCAGGGGCTCGTGTTTGGGTTCCTCCGGGCACTTCCGTACACTCAGACTCTTCTTGCTACAAGGCTGAGGAGAGGCGGGAACAGGCAGGGTCAGGTGTGGCAAACACTAGCGCTCCTCCCCCACACTAGCCCCTGTGTCCATGAAGCCTGCCCTCCCAGTTTATAAAAGCATGGACAAAAATTATGCAACTACCCCTCCTATTCTTCCTCCTCCGCCCCCCACACTCCCACCTGTGCACGAGGAGTCAAGAGGCAGACACCCATGGGGAACCCGTGGGGATCACGAAAGGCCCTGGTCTCACAGAGACACAAACCCGGGCATGCAGCCGAGTTCAGCCCTGGCACGCCTGCTGCCTGGACTGCAACCTCCATCCCCACCCCCACACGCTACTCAGCAGCCCTGCCCAAGACCTGCAGCCACCCCAGCTCAACCCGGCCCCTGAGCTGCGCACCTGTAGGTGGGTGCACACCATCCTGAGCATGTCAAACACGCTGTCCCGGGAGAGCAGGGATACGAAAATGTACTGCATGGAAGGAAACGGGTGGTGAGGTGCCCTCTGCCAGCCGCCCTGAGGAGCCGTGGGGGCAAGCAGACGGGAAGACGTGGCAGGGCGCCAGAGTCGGGCTGGGAACCAGGGCTGGGACCCTTTTCCATCCTCCGCCCCCACCTCCCGGTGCACAGGGGCTGGTGCTGGCTGGAGACCCACAGACCTTCTGGCTGGTGTTGGTGGTGACAGCCAGGCCGTTGGGGAGCAGCCGTGCCATCTTGTGTTTCTTGATCGTCTGCACGGACAACACTGGAATGACCACCTAAGAGGGAGGGGTATGCTGGCTTAGCCTCCTGCTCTTCCCGGCCCCCAACTCCAGCATGGGCCCCCTTGCTCTTGGAAGAGGGCCCAACAAGGATCCCTTGTCGGAGTGGGCATCTACCCCAGCTGGTCATGTGGACCCCTCCCATCAACCAACTCTACCCAGCACTCTGAGATCCGACCCTGGTAGTCACGGGCCATCCTGGCAGATCCCAAGCCCTAGTGACAGAGCCACCTCCTGACCACAGTAATGGCTGCCTATGCACAACACTGCCCTTCAATGCCTAAGGCCTGGTTTTTCTTTTTAAGATTGATTTATTTCAAAGGCAGAGTGATAGGGAGAAGCTGCGAGTGATCTTCCCATCCACTGGTTTACTCCTCCAGTGCTTCCAACAGCCAGCAGTGGCCCAGGCCAAAGCCAGGAGCCCAGAACTCCACCCAGATCCCCCACATGGGTGGCAGGGGCCTACTCTCTCTGCTGCTTCCCCAGGCACACTAGCAGGAAGCTAGGTAGGAAGTGGAGCAGCCAGGACTGGAAATGGCATTCTGCTAGTTAGGCTGGTGTTCCAAGGGACAGCTTAACATATGTCACTACAGCAGGGACCCTCAAGGCTTGTCTGAGATGCCCACAGGCAAACGAGCTCAGGCTCCACTCTGGGTCTCCATGGGGGCCATGTTCCAGAAGGGGCAGCAGGACTACTTCCCCCGCCCCTGGATGGGAAGCTGGGGGGCTGCCCAGGTTCACAAGGAGAAGAAGGCCAGGCAGCTATGGCCAAGGGGCTGACTCCCTGCACCCCTTCCCTTCTTGCCTACCTTCACGTCCTTGCCAAAGAGGCTGGCGTGGAAGCAAAGCCAGTTGGGGGAGATGTACAGCCGGCCCTGGAGCAGGAGGTCCCTCTGGAGGGCACAGGAACACACTGGGAAAGCAATGAGGAAAAGCCAGGTCAGCGCGCAGCCACGCGGCCTGGGCACCCACACCCAGGAGTCCTGAGGCCACCTCAAGCTGGCCTCCACCCCACTCCCCGAAACCAGGAAGTTCCTCACTCAATCTCCCTCCTTCTCCATTCATGCCACCCAGGGCCATGCAGGTCCCGATGGGGGCATCAAGTCTAGATTCTCAGAAGAATCCTTTGTTTGGTTTTTTTAGATGTATCTTATTTTTATTTTAAAGGCAAGTTTACAGAGAGAGGAGGAAAAAGAGAGAGAGAGAGAGATCTAGCCACTGGTTCATTCCTTAAATGGACATGTTGAGCTGGATCAGTCTGAAACTGGGAGCCAGGAGCTTCTTCTGCGTCTTCCACATGGGAGCGGGGGGAGGGGGGTGTCCAAGGACTTGGACCATTTTCCTCTGCTGCTTTCCTAGACCACAAGCAGGGAGCACTCACATGTATAGGATGCCAGACTGCAGGCAGAGGCTTAATATACTATGCCACAGCACCAGCCCAGAAGAAGCCTCTGCCCTGTCTGCCTGGAAGGAGGACCCTGGCTGTGGCAGATGCCCCCAGTGATAGCCTGAGCTGGAAATGCTGGAGATAAACAATGGCCCAATGAGGGCAGGGCAGAGATGAGGGTCAGGAGCCTAGCATGCTCCCGAGCAATGCTTGTCAATTGAAACCCTGCACATACAATCAGCTTTGCCTATCTTGGCATGGATGGGGCCTTGCTGGCTCTGGTGGCCAGGCCCAAGGCCAGCTCCCAAGTCCACACGGGGTCTTGCCAGCTTTGGTGGCCAGGCCCAAGGCCAGCTCCCAAGTCCACACGGGGTCTTGCCAGCTTTGGTGGCCAGGCCCAAGGCCAGCTCCCAAGTCCACACGGGGTCTTGCCAGCTTTGGTGGCCAGGCCCAAGGCCAGCTCCCAAGTCCACACGGGGTCTTGCCAGCTTTGGTGGCCAGGCCCAAGGCTCACCTTTGAGCACCATCTCTTCCATGGGGATGTCCTTGAACACCTTGTGGTATTGCTGGTTAGACTTACTCAGCAGGGCCTGCAAACACACAAGCCGGAAGTACAACCTAGAAGGCCAGACCTGACCCCGAGCTCCGCTTCCACCACCACGAAGAAGCATCAGGAGGGGCCCAGGGACTCAGCATGCGGCAGCCAGCACACACCAAGAACCAAATTTTGATCACAGCATGTCTCCCACTGACACAAGTCCCCAGAGGTAGCCCTGTGCCCACAGGGGACACATCACTGCCTCCTCTCCCCCAGGAAGGGACAACCAACTCCAGTCCCCTACATGCACGTGTTGGCTGAGCCCTGGATGCGGGAAACTGGGCTCTTCCCTGGAAAACGGGCAAAGCCAGCTGGGCACACTTACCCCTGCCCGGCTATACTTTGTTATCCCTCCGCAATCGTCTGGCCAGTGCAGGCGGCAAGGGGACGCTGCATTCCAGGAACAGGCAGCCCCGGATCCCTGCCTGTGCATTCTCTGTGGCCACTGTGATTGGGCCTCAGTCCAGCAGCTCGACACAGAGAGGAGAGATTCAGGTGCTTTCCTAGGAACACAGCAAACTGAAAAGGGCAAAGCCCTGCCAAGCTGAGGAGTAGCCTACCTTTGGACGTTTCGGACCCACTCCAGTTTCTCCGCCTCGGGGCCAAGCAGAGGAGGAAGCAGGGCAGGGATTTTGGGGGGTGGGAGGACCAGTTTGGGGAGTACAAGAGGCACAGACGTCAGACTCACAGCCCAATCTGTAGGCAGGAAGGTCTGGCTGCCTCCAGGCGTGGCCCAGGGCTGTGGGCTGAGCAGCACAGCACAAACTGTCCAAGGGGGTGGTGCCAAAATGCAAACCTTTGCTGTGGCCCAAGGACAGGTGGGCAGGAGGAGGCTGGTAACCTGAGAAGGCCAGGTTCAAGTGCACTGGACAGCTCTGATGGTCTCACCAGGCAGCCCGCTAAGGAACCCGGCCACTCCCTGAGGGCTCCCCAGCCTTCAGCACGCCAGAAAGCGCCTCACCTGCAACATGGAACCTCCCACACTTGGTCTGCCTTCTCTGTGCCGCACACAGGGCTCTCCAAGGAAGCCGTCTTTCCAGGCATGGGTTGCTTGCTAGGGAGAAACAAATTCACATTCAGAAGGGGGCTCCAAAGGAGAAGATGGGGTGGCTAGCTGCCTCCATCCCCTGCGCAGCCAGTCCCCAGATTTCCACAGTTGGGAGGCAACGAGGTTCCAGGGTACCTGCAGCCGTGGGAACCTCAGCCAGCCTCCTTTCCAGAAGCTGAACTTCAATATGTACCTGGCTCAGTCAAAAAATCCCATCAGCAAGTCTCTGGGCCAGGGCCGGGCAACCGAGGGGCCCGGCAGAGTTGGGCCTCCAGCCCCACCTGGGAGAAGCCACCTGGGATGAACAGGTGTGCAAGCACCTGCTCACAAGCAAAAGGGAAAGTGGCAGTGGTGCCCGAATGGGGTTGCTGTAAACCCTCAGGTTCCGGGAAGGCATTCAGTCCGGGCAGCCTTATCGCACGCCAAGTAGCAGAGGCATCCAAAGGTCAGGAAGATGGACACTGAGTGCCCACAGGTGGCCTTGGTCACCCTGGAGAGCCAAAACATCTCAAAAATGTCTGAGAGAAACGTCTGGGTGCCGCCCTCTCCTCGGGCAGGTGGAGTCTTTGAAACAGCTCCAAGAACAGGGTCTGCTCTCTCCTGCTCCCCCCGCCCCCCAGGCCAGCCTGAGACTCCAGGAAGTCTGCTTTCTCTCAGCAGATCTGCAGCAGACAGGCACCTGGCCCAGAGGTTCCAGTGCTCACCCACCCTGGGCTCTGGGAAGGGTGGGAGGAGCCACAACCTTCACCAGCAGGCCAGCCAACTTGGCCCACTGCAGATGAAACGGAGGAGCCACCAAGGGATGGAAGCTGCCGTGCTCCACAAGGGTAATGATGAGCACCGCACCCGCGGGCAGCACAGCCGCAGCCTTGTGGTGCATGTCCTTCATCTCCCATTTGACACACTCATCAGCATGGACAGGCATGGGGACACTGGTCCCCAACACGGTATCCCCGACATGGTACCCCCAGGACGTCAGGGCACACATGCACTCTGCTGTTTGCACAGCAGCTGAGTCGCCATTTATCCGAACATGCACAGTAAGGCATGGCATGTGGCTGTATTTATCAAGTCTTGAAATGGATGGTGGTGCAATGAACTTTCTGACTCTCAAGGGTTTTTCCTCTTGGTTATTTTGGGGGGTTTCTTTTTCTTTCTTTCTTTGGGGGGTGGAAGGGCTCATGATAGAAAATGAAAAATATGCTCACAAAAAATTATTTTAAAATAATCCAGGAGGGCTTGGTGGCATGGCCTGGTGGCTAAAGTCCTCGCCTTGAACACGCCAGGATCCCATATGGGCGCCGGTTCTAATCCCAGCAGCTCCACTTCCCATCCAGCTCCCTGCTTGTCGCCTGGGAAAGCAGTCGGGGACGGCCCAAGGCTTTGGGACCCTGTACCCGCGTGGGAGACCTGGAGGAAGTTCCTGGCTCTTGGCTTCAGATAGGCATAGCATCAGCTGTTGCGCTCACTTGGGGAGTGAATCATTGGATGGAAGATCTTCCTCTTTATCTCTCCTCCTCTCTATATATCTGACTTTGTAATAAAAATAAATAAATCTTTAAAGATAATAATAATAACAATCCAGGGGTTGCCAGGTAAAGCCACTGATTGCAATACCAGCATCCTACACGGCGTCGGTTCGACTCCCAGCTGCTCCACTTCCAATCCTGAAAATGCACCTGGGACAGCAGTGGAAAATGGCCCAAGTGCTTGGGCCCCTGCACCCATGAGGGAGAAACTCCTGATCCCTGGTTTCTGCAAGCAGGGCACACCCCCGGTGTTGGTGGCCATTCGGGAAGTGAATCAACAAATGGAAAGATCTCGGTCTCCCTCTCTCTGTAACTCTGCCTTTCAAAGCAATCAATCACTGAAAAAGAAAAAGAAAAATCATGCCACAGTGGGTTGAACATTTAAACAAGTAAAAATTACGCAGAGTGGGGCCAGCACTACGGCACTGGAGGCCAAGTATTCGCCTATGGCACTGGCATTCCCTACGGGCACAGCTTCATGTCCCAGGAGCTGTCTGCCGATGGCCTGGGAAAGCAACGGAGGATGCGTCAAGTCCTTAGGGTCCTGAACCCATGTGAGAGTCCAGGAAGAAGCTCCTGGCTCGCAGCTTCAGATTGGCTCACCTCTGGCCATTGCAGCCATCTGGGGAGTGAAGACCTCTCTCTGTCTTTCCCTCTCTCTCTAAGTCTGCCTTTCAAATAAAACTAAATAAATCTTTAAATTTTGTGATTCACTTTTACTTGAAAGGCACAGAGAGATCTTCCACTCACTGATTTCCTCGCCAAATGCTAACAGCCAGGGCTGAGTCAGGCTCTAGCTGGGATCCTGCAGCTCTGTCCAGGTCTTGGATATGGGTGGCCAGAACCCAAGTGTGTGAGCCATCACTACTTTCTCCTAGAGAACCCATTAGCAAAAAAAGAAAGAAAAGAAAAACAGACCTGCTTATGGGATACAGACATCTCCAGAGGTACTTGACAGCCGTGCCAAACACCCACTTCTGGGCCCTGCGTCTCTTGCTTGACAAGACTCCATGGGCAGCTCAAAGTGTCGCTGACCATTGCTGAGGAGCTGGGGCCTGCACCAGCCAGGGTCTCTACCTGCTCCCCACTCTGCTGTCATCCTCTCACTTTAGGAGCTGGTCTGGTGGGCTTGTGTTATTGTCACTTTATGTATTTGAAAGGCAACATGGCAGGGAGGGAACGATGTAGAAGAGAAAGAAAAAATTCCCATCTGCTGGTTCATTCCCTAAATGGCTACAATAGCCAGTGCTGGGCTAGGTAGAAGTTGAGAGCCTGGAGCTCCATCCAGATCTCCTACGTGGGTGCAGGGGCCCAAGCAGGTGGGCCATCTTCTGCTGGCTTCCTAGGCACACTGGCAGAGAGCTGGATCTCTGGATCTTTTGAACCAGGACTCAAAGCAGTGCTCAGATGGGATTTGGTCTCTTTATTGAGAATATTAATCCTGTTTTATCACTTTTACAAATACTTCCCGTAGTTGGTGATGTGCCTTGGAATTTTGCTTCAGTGCTTTTGCCTGCTCATGTACTAATGATGGTGGGGCAAATCCAACCCACCTGTCCCACCTTCGGTCTCACTGGCTTGTGACAGGCCCTGTGGTACAGGTGAATAAAGCCACCGTCTTCAGCACCAGCAGAACTTAAGGCTGTGATTCGAATCCTGGCTGCTTTTTTTTAAAGAAATGACAATAAAAACAATACTAATCAAAACCCAAAGCCTTGCATCCACATGGGAGTCCTAGAAGAAGCTCCTGGCTCCTGGCTTTGGATCGGCCCAGCTCTGGCTGATGCAGCCAGCTGGGGAGGGAACCCGCAGATGGAAGATCTTTCCCTCTCTCTGTGTCTCCTTCTAACTCTGCTTTCAAACAAATCTTCCAGATAAACAGCAGAGAGTAAGGCTGAACCGAAGGCTTTGCAGATTACCCAACCAGTGAACAGAACACCCAAGCTGTACTGTGGAAGCTGCTCGGCCCATGGCTGCATGGAGGCACCCGTGAGCTCCTTGCTTCACTGGAAAGGAACAAATTGTTCTTAAGCCAGAAGAGGAGGTTGCATGGAACAAAAACCCATCCAAGAAGAAACTAAAAAAATAAAACCTCATGGTTCAGGAATCCATTCAGCAGAAAATAAATGTAGATGAAAACATTTTTTCAGAAAAGCAATTGCTTTTCATGGGATTAAGACAGTGCCACGTATGTCCTTCCCAGCTCTCCCTTGCAGATGCTGCCAGAGACCCCCACCTGCAGCAGAGTAGCTTGTTATTTTATGTATTTATTTTTTAAGGATTCATTTTTATTGGAAAGTCAGACTTACAGAAAGAAAGAGAGAGAGAGGAAGAACACTCCCCAAGTGGCCACAACAACTAAAGCTGAGATGATCTGAAGCCAGGAGCCTCTTCCAGGTCTCCCACACAGGTGCGGGGTCCCAAGGCCTTGGGCTGTCCTTGACTGCTTTCCCAGGCCACAAGCAGGGAGCTGGATGGGAAGCGGGACCGCTAGGACATGAACTAGCACCCGTATGGAATCTCGGCATATGCAAGGCAAGTTTAGCCAGTAGGCTACTGCACCGGGGCCCCAGAGGCAGCTTTCAACAGTCTCTAGGGCTGTCGAAAATGTGGCATAGAGGGTAAAGCTGCCCCTGCAGTGCCGACATCCCACATGGGCCCAGTTCAAGTCCCAGATGCTCCAGTTTCCATCCAGCTCCCTGCTAATGACCTGGGAAAGCAGCAATGGATGGCCCAAGTGCTCAGGCCCCCACATCCACATAGGAGACCCAGAATAAGTCTTTTGGCTTCAGCCGGCCCATTAGGGGGAATGAAGCAACAGATGGAAGATCTCTCTGTCTCCCTATCTCCAACTCTGCCTTTCAAATAAAAAAAGAAATCTTAAAAAAAAAAAAGTGGGAGTGCTGGCGTGATGGCCCAGCGGCTAAAGTCCTCGCCTTGAACACACCAGGATCCCATCCTGACAGCCCTGCTTCCCATCCAGCTCCCTGCTTGTGGCCTGGGAAAGCAGACGAGGACGGCCCAAAGCCTTGGGACCCTGCACCGCTTGGGGAATGAATCACCAGATAGAAGATCTTCCTCTCTGTCTCTCCTCCTTTCTGTATATCTGATTTTGCAATAAAAGTAAATAAATTAAAAAAAAAAGTTTCCAGCTCAGATTTTCCACCCCTTAAATTCCTTTCCAACCTTCCAAATGTTCAGAAGATTGAAGACCCAGGTACCAGCCAGGCAGGGGCCCAGCGGCCAGCTCTGCCCAGAGCCTGAGCTGGGAAGAGGCGGCGTTCCCAAGCTCACCTAGGAGTGTCCACTCAGCCGGCAGCCCCGCTCTGCTCATTCCCCCTGCTCATTTTCCTCTGCCTGGTGAACCCTGCCTTTCTTCCATCCTCCTGTGTCCAGACCGCGGGGTGAGTATCAGGGCTTCGGAAGCCCCTTTACAAGCCTTTCAATCAAAGCCACAGAGCTTCTGCAGCAAGCAGGATGTGGTGGGATGGAGCAGGGCAGTGGCCGTGGTTCTGGATGTAAAAAGGGAGCCAGAGACTTGAGAGCTTCTAGGGCACAGCCCTTCCAGGGCCCTTCTAGGGCACAGCCAGGTCCAATGGAGGCAGGAAACCCTCCCTATGGGCAGGCAGGCCCACACAGCTAAGGGGAGCCACTGCCCACCCCCTCAATCCCCTAATTTTAGGAGCCTGCTATGGGGAGGGGGAGAAGTGAGCAAGGAGGGCCTCCCACACCATTCCCCACCTTCTACTACTCTCACATCCTGTACCTGACTGCTCTGCATGTCCAGCCCAGCCACCTCCTCCAGGCAGAGTCCCAGATCTACTTTTCTCACCTTCCTCCATGCCCTCAGACCTCCTCATCCACAGCAGTCCCCAGCGAGCTTCCCTCAGCAGCAGGCCCCCTTACTCTGCCTCTCCCTGCCCTGTCCTGCTTAGGCTGCCTAGAAGTCCTCAGCTCGCCCCACTCCCACAACCAGGAGATCCTTTAGGGCCCAAGAGCTTTCGGGTGAACCAACATGCCCCCTGCCTTCCACCCTCCCTGCCTGGTCTTCCTCTTGATCTCACCCTCCCAGCAGGGCCAGACTGGTCCCTCCCACTCTCCCCCTCCATGCATCTATCCCATCATTCCCTCCCCTAACCTTCCTGCTTTGCCCACCTGCCACCCACCCCATGCAGCTCCAGACCTGGCCTGCTCACTCTTCCAGGACTCCGTCAACACGCTCATGTGCCCAGGGCATACCCTTAAGCTCCAGTTCAGATCGAAACCTGCCCTGAGAAGCCTTCCCACCAGAGCTGGGAAGCCACCAGCAGAGCTGCCCTCTCTCGCCGCGTGAGGACTTCGCAGCACTCACCGCCAGCCAGTGTATGTCCCAGGGCACACCTGCCTCCCCCAGCTG